TAGCCTTGCTTTCCAGCAGGTATTCTCATCCAGGATGGACTGCAGATTCGACCTCGCTAAGGTGGCACTCAAACCATAAAAGTGTAGTATATAATCTCTCCACAGACCATTATACCACACTCAAATGCCAGTTCTCTATCACCTTAAACGAAGTGGTGCGAATACCGCTCCTATATAGGATCTTCTGATAGTCTCGAAAGTTTATATATGGTTGAAATGTTATAATATGCCAACAAAACATACCCCGCTACTTATATTCATATAAAATAGGTTTCGAAATTGTCAGTACATCTTGAATACGAGCTCCGATGAGTCACGGGGCAAGCGTTGCTCTCAAATCACACTTGACGTGAGATTGTCAATGGGGTGAACTTGTTGTTGTCATTGCAACTGCTCGCATTACTTATTCTCTTTATGAGTACGTTTCGATGGTATCAGCATTTTTGGCGCTAAGGCCTCAAAAGCTGTGTAGCCGAGTGTTACAGCTTGGCCACGGTGGACATGACTCGGTTTCGAGTCTCCTCACTTTTCTTTTTCACTCGCCTCACCTTCGCTCGAGAATTGCTTATAGTTTTGAGGATCACTTTGTCTCTTCTGAAGAGTAGTTAATATTAGTAATGGGTTGACCTCATTTTTGCAACTTGGTCTTGTTGTCAGGGCGACTTAGTAGAACGCACCTAGTCCGAAGTAGTTGTCATGACTCCCAGCATCAGACAGTGTACTTGGTACATTCGCAAACGTTTCGCCGGCTACGTAGTCGGCATCACATTTGAGAATGTACCAAGTCAACTGTCTGATGCTGGGCATCATGACAACTACTTCGGACTAGGTGCGTTCTACTAAGTCGCCCTGACAAAAAGACCAAGTTGCGAAAACGAGGTCAACCCACTTCTATAAATCGAAAGGAGAGTGTGATCATATTCGAAGGGTCACACCATCTTGGTCTTCATATCTTTTGTAGTTAAACATTGCCCACATTCTCTCCTTCGTCTGCAGGTCCAACCAGATCGGGCAGTGCGGCCGGAGGTCGGGAAGACGGCAAGTCGGCGGACAGTTCAAAGGGCCAGACTGGCGAAGAGACTGAGGCCGAGATGAAACTGGTCGCCGAGACGGACTCGTTTCGCCCGATCACCGGCATCGATGGCAACCTGAACGACCTGCTGGACGCCTCGAATGTCCGACTGGAGGGTGC